TTCTTTCTGACGACTTCCAGACAACTTGAGTTGTAAGTGGCAGTGCGTCAGTCAAAAAAATCAAATGGAAACGACCACGCGCAACCTCCTGACCGGAAATTAGGTCATGGCCAGGAAAAAAAATAGAATTTATTGACTGTTGACAGATTTTCAGATCTGATGTGTCGTACAAGGCTTTACAACAAAAGGATCCTTTGTGAGACTTTTGTACAAGCTCATTCTAGCTCATTCTCGTAGCTCTCAACCAAATCCGGGGCTCGCAATTTAAGAGTGTGAACGTCTCGCGCTCGCACTCAAAACCCTTTGAAGTCTCGGTCTCGCAATCTAAAAAGTCAAAATGTCTCGGGCTCGCAAAGAAAAACGCTAGTCTCGCCGTCTCGCAAAGTCTCGCATTTACCATTCGCCACCCRTTAATATAAATGCGATGAAAAACTTTGTTTGTGAAGTGTTCCCTTTTTTCAGAAAGTCAGTTTCTGTTTTATTTCAAGAAAGTGTGTACCACGGTGTAGCAATGTAACAGGAACCCAACTTAGTCAAAGGTCAGATAACTTGTAGCGCAGGCGTAATTTGGCGGACGAGTGCTCAGAGAGGGAAGGGGGTGGGGCAATGAATATTTCACCTTTTCCCTCTCCCCACCATCGACTCTAACTTCAAATCAAGCATGGTCGGTTAAATAAACGATCGTGAGCTTCTTAGCGTTAACTTGCCCTAATAAGACGCCTACACTGCACGCTTAAGGTCAGATAATTGCAAGTGAGCGCCTTAATAAATCGATCAAGAATCCCTTCTAATTTTGTTTCTTATTTCGCTTTTCCTTTTCTCTTTCATGTTCAGATGATCCTTACATATAATAGTGTTTGGCCTTAAGTTTAAAAATTGGAAGTTTAATTAAACCACGCGCAACGATACGGTTACCGCACCGCGTCAGTTGACGTCTATAAATATGTTTATTCAAGACGCTTGCAAATAAATTTATGAAGAATCTCCTTTAAGTCTGTGTATGATTTTTCCCTTTATTTAAGGTAGAGACCGGCTCGGCGCTGAAGCTGTCCGAAGTCGTCCAAACGGGAATATTCCTTCCCTATCGTCAGCGAGCTACTCCGATAGGTGTCCGTAGCCGACCTTTTTCGAAAATCACAAAAAATATCTGTCTTCAGCCACAAAAGTGACAATGTTCAACATAGCAGTACTCTTATTTTTCAATATTTTGATGCTGAAAGAGCATACACCGCATCGCAATTGATTACGACAATATGAACCTTTTTGATATTATCATGAGTTCGCCATAAAGGGAATCGGGAGTATTGAACACAGTCATGTACGTGATCCTCATGCTCGTAGAGTTTATTGTGTTCATAAATGTAGTACACCATCACCACATGGTGACATCGGACTGTCTTCGATGACCGCACTTTTGACTCGTGCGTAATTTAACCAAACTTCGAAAACTCGTCAATTCTAAAATCATCATCGGTGATACCGAAAAAATTCGAAAACGACCTTGATCCAGAACTAACCAAATCATGTCAGCTTTGCTGCCATTACTTTCGAACAAACTTGAAATTAGAAACTAAATCTATCGCTTAATCATCAGTGTCCTACGATCTTTTAGTGTCGAGGATATGGTAGTCATACTACGGATCCTGATTATTATTCAGTTGCTCCATAATGCTTTAATTGAGAACCAAATGCGATTGTGAAAGGGAAAGGAGAGGAAAGGAAAGTAATGGATTTCCCTACGGAAATAAATTAACCGAAAAAGGAAGTCTTACCTTGTGGGCTAAGAGTCAGATCACTGACTTACAAAGGGTCCTCTAGTCTCTTGTCTTTTATGGCCAAGTTTGGTTTCGGCTACAAATCACCTTCAGTCAGTCACTCATGAGCGAAAGGTAGCGAATACATGCAGTCAACAAGTACCAACTTCGTTTTTCAGAGTGGCAATCCGTGGCTTTCATCTTTTTTCGAAAGCGGCTTTCGAAATCCTGACCTTCTGCCCTCCTTTTCCCCATTCCTATCATTCACACTGAATAGCTCAACAGATTATAAAACGAATCGTCTGTTAATTGATCTCTCTTTAGTCGAATCATGTAAATGTCTTGGAGTGAACTGATCTCGCAGGGAGAAGTACCGTGTTCCAATCAGACTCAGAAGTAAGTTTTTTATGACAGCTATGTAGTATATGCTAACTCACTCCTGTTTAGCTTTTGGCATTTTAAAGACCGTGTTTTAACCAGCACGCATTGCGCGCGGAGTTCATCATCATTATCATCTTTAATAGTAACATCCCCGTGAGGATTTAACAGAAACTATTTACAAACTTTTTACAATTTATAAAAACATAAACAACGATAAAACTCATGGTCAGAATTTAAGATAGTATTCCACCAAGTTCTAGAGCTTATAAAGGAAATGTCTGCCTCAATAGTGTGTCTTGCAGAGCGCGCTTGAAAGATGCCAATGAGGCATTTTACCTAAGTTCTTTATACAAGTTATTCCATATGTTGGCCCCTCTGTAGGAAAAAGTGCGCTGGCCAGTAGCCGTTCTATATAGCGGAATCTGCAAAGAGTTCCGCGTACGAGTGTTACGAGTATGTATATTTGATCGCTTGGTAAACTTACTCGTTAAGTATTGAGGCGCAAGACCGTTCTGACATTTAAAGGTCAGAACGGAGTCTCTATAAAAGAATTGTTATTTAACAGGAAGCCAATTTAGCTCACGAAGCAAAGGTGTTACATGGTCGAACTTCCTAGAGTTTGTTACGGTAGATATTCTAGTCTTCTCGGATAAGGACGAATAAACCGTAGGCCCCGTCTCCTGCAGGGTTAGGTGTAGGAGACGTTAATTTCCCACGCACGAGATTACTGTGTGGTGGATGTCCTCCCCTGGGGTGGTGTGGGTGGGAATTGGCCCTGAAAAGCCCCTATGGGTAGTGGTCAAGTTACGTATGTATGTAACTCTAGTGTTTTTTTGAAGAACCTCCTTTTGACTCTATTAATTTGACAAAGCTTTGCGAAACAAGTTGACACTACACGTGTAATGTGGTGATGTAGGTCAGATGGGGATCAAGGAAGACTCCCAAGTCCTTGGCAGAGTCTACTTGCTTCAGTGTTTTACCCAAGGATACCACACTAGGATCTTCCGCTAACCTACTTCAAATCTGTCTAGTGCCAAGGAAAAGGAGTTTGGTTTAATCGGGGTTGAAGTAGATAGTTCTCACAACACCATTGGGCTACACTGTAAAGATCTTGTTCGAGCTTTTCAATGGCAGCATCAAGCTCAACGAGCGGAAATGACATGAATATTTTTTAACTTAATGGCTTAATGCATCTTCCTATGAAAGTTCTAGACAGAAAGAGTAAATCAATACAGGTGTACAGCTTGGTGGGGCTCCCCTAAAAATGCCAACAGTGGAAATCCTGCTATTTGTCTGTTTAATTGTTTGTTTTTTTTTGTTGTTTTCTTTTTCCTGGTTTTGGGAAAGAGAGGAGGGGAAACCCGTTTGCATAACGCATTACCCGAGGATAAAAAGTTACACTAGGAAACTGTGCCATGCAATTTTCTATTGCTCAATTTTATTGTAGACTATTAATGGGTAATGTTAACGAGATAGCTAAAATTTTAGTCTGGTTCTCGCCAACATAACGGGCCAGTCTATTACTTTACTTATGTTGGTGTTAGCTTGGTGAATAACAGCTAAAGAGAATAATTAATTTTGCGGTTAAGGAAGGAGCTACTTCATGACTTAGGCAGCATTTTGAAAAACTCAGAGTTACATTCCGTGTCGATATTCTCAATTTTTTACTATCTAAAACTCTGTTTCGTATAATCTTACTGTTCTGCTATTTTTTCTACAGTAGTAAGTAATAATTTCAATGGAACGCATTTCGATGAAGTGTCGTCAAAACCACAACCCAAGTAATTAAAACAGCCGATCAGAACAAAGGAAAAATATCACAAGGAGCCAATAAGAACTCAAAATGAACGCGGGAAAAGCAAGCGTCCTGGTCCCGATCAAATAGTCTTGCGTCTAATTGGTCGAGGAGTTGAGTCGAGTTTTTCACATTAATCACAGGGCCAAGTTAAGCAAAACCTAAGCGGTTCTGGATTATTTCCGACACTAAATCGAAATTTGCCCAATTCCTTTTTATTTCAAAGGCAATTTTTTTACGCTAAATAAAAGAATCAAAATATCGTGAGGCAGCTCCTTAATTCAAAGTAAAATTCATTTTTTTTTCTTGAACAAAGGTTTTATAACGAAATATCCATTTAAGGTACATAGGATCGCGTAATTACGACGCTATCATGCGATACCAAAAGATATGTTCGTTACAGACTGTGTACAGAGCCTCTGGTGCGCAAGGCAATTAAAAGAATACGAAGCCTACTGTTCGGCAAATCCACCTTCAAACAAAACAAAGTTGGCATGAAACGAACTGTTGGCCACCAGAGATAGAAGTTAACTTGAAATGACGCTAGTCACTGTGATTCTTTTTCTGAAACTACACGCACCTATAACACAAAGAACTCCAACAATGTAATAATAAATATACTTTTCTCTGTTTTACAGAATTTACTCGTATGTTCATTTTCTATTCTCGTTTACATTCTATACAAAAATTAATAACCTTTGAAATTTCTCTCCTGTCTCTAACACTTCACTGTACAACAGCTGAGCTGGTTACCTGACCACTCAAAGAAGTTTAAAATTTATCAAACCTTTATTTGATTTTTGTTATCTAAAAGGAATAAATCTCTTCTTTCGTGAGTTAAATTTACTTTCTAAGGGAGACCTCGTGCACAAACCTCGCCCAGTTTCTCTCACAAAACACTTGAATGGTTGTTGCTGGTCAGTCAGAAGCCAACCAGAAAGCTAGGCGCTTCTAAAATCTCAACGGAAGCGTCATTTCTGGTCGAAGCTTGTCACCAATCTCTATCTTCCCCAAGGTTAACATGAGTGCGCAAAGACAAACTTTCTGTTCTAGTGGGCTATGTACTTTTGAAACTACAACATGTCTACCTTGTGTGCAGTTTTGATTCAGTGTTGCAGGGCTCAAGAGAATTTGAAGAAGTAGTTAAAGCAGAATATGATGATATAAATTGTTCTGCTAACACAAGGGACTTTTAAAAACAGCTTTCCCACAAGGCAGCTGACGAGAAACCAATATCATTTCAATGAATGTGGCTCGCTTCTATGCAGCACTAAATCAGATTCCATTCCGTCAGTGTAAATCCTATTGGTACATTTGAACTACATTTGCTCATATATTTCTTCTAATATAAGTTGTGAGAATTTTGCATCTTATTATAAAACTTCCACACCGGTTGTTTCACCGATATCAAAGAAACACAACGATAACTTTTAATTCAAGTTATATAAATTATTTTTGGAATGACCCTTTATCTGGAACAACTAACTTTCTCTGTCTTAAAACTTGTAGTAAATAAATATCTACTCGAACCAAACTACGCCGAAGCAATGACATTTTGTGTGGTCGCAATACAAAACAGCGTGATCAGAAAAAATTAACAGCATTTAACTTCCTAACAAATTTAAAATGTAATGCAGACATTGCTAAAATAAACACAATTAGCTAATATTTCAATATTAATATTTCAACCGCGCAAATTTATCTTACTTTGAGATTTTGCATTTCAATATTTCGTATCATCAGATATCTTCTACCAACATTCTTTTCGGAGAATGGATAATTAGGTTTTGTTTCTCAGATATTCCTAGTATTTTAACCCTGCTACACTTCTGCACTGTTTTGAAAAACAAAAGTCATAACGAAAGCGGAAAAAAGTTAATTTGCACAATTTAAAAGCAACCAGGTTAAAAAAAAATTATTGTTTTACTGATTGAAATCCAGAACATTAATTGAATTTTTCGGTCATTCTCAGATATAAATAAAGATTGCCCGGATTTTCGTTTATGAAGATAATTTACAAACGTTCAAAATATTCTTAGCAACCAATAAAAAGGAACTATCAACAGAAAACTGGATATTCACATCTATGAATTAACAATTCGTCTCTTATCCTTTCGTTAAATCCCACTTGTAAGAGTTTCAACTGCTTTGCTTCAGTTTGACCGTATGTCGATCGATTAATTCGAATGTAGGACGTGATCTAGATTATTGTCGTCCTTCATGGAATTATGTACTTCATCAATAGAGCAGCACTATACAAATTATAAATATGGTTGTTATCTTAATACGAATAATAAACGCAAGATGATTTGATTGATTCTCTTCATCACCAGACTTCTAAAACACGATTCCCAGTCATCCTTTCTGGAGGACTGAGTCTAGTGAGGTCAACTACTTCCAACAAATACCTTGTTTCAAAGACCTTTCAAGCTACTTTGCCACGAGTTACGACAGAGCTTCACCGTCAAATGGCTAGAATAAATAGAACTCTTTTACCTTACTTTATAGTGACTCAAATTTTCACGGATCTTTCCATCCCAAAATGCAAATCACTTAACGCCTTCTTTCAATGACTGTCCTCCTTATCGATCGTCCTCTTCAGCCGCCCAGCTCTCTCCTCGGCCTTCGCTGTCCGTTCAATCCTTTGTGCGGACTTGGGAGACACACCCCCGCATAGAGCCTTGACGCTGTGTAGAATCCGCTTGACGTGTCCCACTTTGGTTACACCCAGTTCCTGATGAAGATAATGCAATAAGTTTTGACAAATCAACTAGACCAGTAGTTTCATTCGCAACCGTGCGTTGAGATAGCTGTAACGTTCCCCCTTTATTTCAAAGAACCACCGCAAGAGAGATTAGGAGAAGTGTTAATATTCATATCTGGTTCCTACCTCAGATTCTGTCGCGTGATATTACTGGAAGCTACTTCCCTGAAAATGGGACACTAACCAGTTCACCGCACTCCCCACTCCTCCCTCGCATTCTAGTAGTTTTCGCACTATTCATATAGCAATGACTATCTATTCACTGAAAGGGAGAGAGAGTCAAGCAACGAAAGTGTTGTTTCTCATCAAGAAAAGAACACAATAACCCAACCAGAATCATCATTTTTAAAGTGCGCGCTCTCATTGGTCAATTGGGTGTCTACCCTTTACCCACGGGTGTACGCTGCTAACGAAACCAAATGCAAAGACTGGTTTCGGCGCGCTTGTTTTTCTGGTCATGTAAGATTTCAAAGTTAAATAAGAGGGAAATCTCTTTCTACAATGTATCAATGTTAAGTATGGATGCACTTGGGAGGCTTACTAAGCACTCAAGAAGCTAGAGTCGCTCTCGGCTATCGCCTCGCGCGACTCTTACGCTTCTTTCGTGCTTAACAACCTACCTCAAAAGTGTACGCTGTGGTGTTTACCAATTGTTAAATCACTTTTAAATTTCTCGCACAGTTAAGGGCGAAAATCTGTTCATGTTTATTGAGTACTCTACCCGGTGGATCACACCACCACAACTTGGGCAGAGTTCCCTTTCAAAACTTGTCACAGAGCTTATGGCAAAAATCTGATCTCATTTATAAAGCATTTCAAGTCATGTGCCTGGTGTGACACAATACAACACCCCAGCTAGAACTCCTACACCAAATTTCTCGCCGAGCTAATAACGAAAATATCATCTTAGTGACAAAATATTACGTGAAATGTGCTTGATATACCATCGTACCTTCAAATCCCCTCTGTTTAGATTCAACAACTCATTGCCCCGGATGTCATGACTTTCAAAGTTGTCCTTGTATTCCGACAGTCCCAGGCTTTCCAACCAGTTCCCGACCTCCTCGACTCCCCAGTATGAAATCATGTGTCCTGGAAAACAATCAACAGTAAAGTAAATATGTTTATATTTCAACGAGAGCGAAAGGTTCATTCTCTTTTTCATCCCTGCCCATCCTTGGCCATCACTCTTTGTCAACGCCCCTGACTATACAAAAAAAACTTCTGCATAAACTTAAGTAATTATTTTCACCTTTCAACTGATTTAGATATCTTTTAGCAATTATTTTCACCTTTTCAACTGATTTAAACATCTTTTAGTGAAAAATGTCACCTTTTCAATGATTAAGATATCTTTTAGGGACTGGTCATAAGTACAGGAAGGCTGGAAAAATAAAATGGATAATGAAAGCGTTTTCAGTAACCCGCCCATGGGCAAGAACATGGCTAAACATGGCCCACCCTTGAATCCTTACAAAAAACCTATAATCCATTCCCCCATGGCCCAGGATCGAATCCTTGCAAGAAATGCTATAATCCATTCCCCCCTAAAAAAGTTATAGGTGCAAGTTGTCCAGGATTGTTTTCTATTCCCTCAAGGACTGAACATAAACGTTTCATCCTCAAGGTTTTCAATATTATTCTGTCAATAATCCACTTCCAGCATGACCAGATTCAAACATGTTTCACAAATGACTTAACCCTCTATAGTACATAGCTTCTTCGTGGCCCTCCCCTTTTTCAAGCACAAAAATGGTGGTCAAGCCCCCCTCCCCCCCTTCCTTATAACCGGCCCAGTCCCTCCCCCCTCTTTACTTCATGACCAGTTCCTTGCAGAAAAGAACTTCCACGCTGCTACACACCTGATGGGGCAGAGCCGACTTTAGTCATCTCCGGCTTCTTTGACTTAAGCAGTCCAGAAAATCTAAACTTGGTTCTCCCTTTGCTTGACGATTGTCGATCAACCTGGAATTTAATCGAAAAGCTTTTTGTGAAATTACCTTTAGAAGGAAAACAAAAGTAGAGCATTATTCTTTAACATGAATTCTTGTTATCAAAGGGCACTTAGGTTTTGCGACACCTAATTTTGGTTTTACCCTGAAACTCCCAAGATCTGATAGTTAACTCTCCCCTCTAGCTGCTACACATTTCCTGGTAAGTTAGTTGCGAGAATTTGGTGTTACATCAAGATACCAACTTCTACCGATAAGTTTGAGTATTCACATCACCTGTTTGCTGGATAATATACATATATTATTATTATTATAGATTAGATATTATAATACAGGGAGAAGTTACATCTTTATAACTTCTGGGAGTTAAAGTGTTCATAATGTGGTGAACATTTGACACAGTCACGATGCTAATGCAGCTTTGAGGCTCCAAGGAACGCAATCAAACTGCAGGAAATTACGTGAGTCTCTAACCTCGTCTTCAGCAATATTTGTCAGTCCGTATGCTTCAATTGTCTTGTTGATGAGAGGTTTCACCGTTTGAATTGAAGATAACAAGTTCCGTTCTATTTCTGATGGCATTGCCTACAAGTTGGTACGGAACAAGTAAAGTTAATTCTCGTGAAGCCGTGAGGCCCATAACTGCCTCGGCTTACCTTCGTTTCTGTAACATGAAGAAACAAGGAGTATGAGTGCTCTTCCTAGATGGGATACTAGGTCCCCCCCCTCCCCCGGCCACCACCACCCAGAATGGGTCCCCTCACAGTTCACCAGTTTACCCAAATATCCGGTATACAGGGAATAAGTTTCCAAAACACTGTGGTGCTGCATCGGTGGAGTGTACCAAGACAGTTTAGTTTTAACAACTGAGTTGATAACGTTAATTGTCCACCGTAAAGACTTCAAAAGCTGACGCTGCGAGCGTTAGCCTTTCGTCTGAGCGAATGTCCAGGAGCTCATGTTTTCTTTTTTACCGTACGTCTTTTACCACTTTAGCGCCACCACAGTATTTATTTGCAATCGAATTCTGTCTCTCTATAACATTCATCTGTGCCGCCAGACAGAAGTCCACCGGATTATTTAAAAATATATTTTAAAAAAGAAATACTTACTGGTTCAAGAGCTGGAAACTCGAACTGGAGACAATATGTTATCGCTTGAACCAATGCCCTCCCGGTCGTCACAAGATCTGTAATACGTCCTTTACTTGGGGCCTGGGTTTAAAAGCAACGAATCAAACATTAGAATTGCGTCAATAACAGGATGCTCAAATAACACTCCCTATATTTGGCTTAATTAGCTGTTTGAAGTCGAAACTCATAAGTTCACACTATCCTCACGCTACGCGCCCAGCCGATTTGAAGTCACTCGTCCGATTACTCTCTGAATTATGCCCCGCTCAGTCCTAATACATTTACGAACTAGTAAGGATTTTTTGTTAAAGTAGACAAGCTAACTTTATAATGGCAACGAATTAACCTGTTTTGGGTAAAAATTGATATAACATCATATAGCCCGGCGTCTGTAAAAAAAGAAAAAAAAAACGCATCCACTTACTGAGCCCAGCGAAAAAAAGAGATTTTTAAAACTCACCTCGGGAATTTTTCCGCCATCCAGCACAAGTTTTTCTATGGAGGTCGCACAAGAGTCCGCCAAGGTAAGTAACTCTCGAAGATTTTTTTCATGCGGTTCACACGTGGTTTTCACGCTGACACGAAAAAAAAAAGGAAAATGGAATAAAGCACGGCTAAATTTGTTTTTGGTTTTGTTTTGGTTTTTTTTCCTTTCTTTTTCTTTCTCTTTCTCAAAGGCTCCAGAATTAGGTTACTCATCGGGTCACAAATTAACTTTGAAAATTTTTTATCTCCTCCAAAAACTTCTCGAAATGACAAGCGAGAAGCGGGGAATCATGGGAAGAAGAATGCTTGTCGGTCAATTTCAGCAGCGAGACTTTTGAATACTTGGTAGTATTTTAAAGAAAAATAAAACGATCAAATTCTTGAACAGCGGTTTCTTTTTCCAACCAAAGAAAACAACACACGATAGACTTTGCGGTGAAAAGCCACGGGATGTGCAGCGAGATGTGAATGAAACATGGAGTGATTGAGATCACATGACCCTGTCCTTACCAGTTGACAAAAATACTGAGACACTGAACAAGTGAGGTGAGCACTTCCGCCTGAGCATTCGTTACACTGGAACTGATCTTCTCCGCTTGTAGTTCGGTCCATTCTTTTAATGTCAACTCGAACTCCTGCGAAAATGAAACACACACATCCAAATGTCACCCAATCGTTCATTTTAATCGAGAATCATTGCCGACCAATAATATCTGATCGATTGGGAGCTCGCAACCGCGGCGAAACCTCAATAAAACGAACGCTCAATTGAAATTCAGTGCATTTTTCTTTTAAATGCCTTTTTAAAATATACGCAATTTACTTGGTTAGAGCGCCGGATTATGTTGTGCGGGAGATCAAGGGTTTGTGCCCTGGCCGGACCAATACTCATGGTCTTAAAATAACTGAGGAGAATTTGCTACCTTTCTATAATATCAAGAAATGGATAGATATTCTAGTCTTCTCGGATAAGACGAATAAACCGTAGGCCCCGTCTCCTGCAGGGTTAGGAGTAGGAGACGTTAATTTCCCACGCACAAGATTACTGTGTGGTGGATGTCCTCCCCTGGGGTGGGATGGGTGGGTGTTTGTTCAGAGAAACTAGCACT